GGGGGGGGGGGGTAAAGGAGGGCTGGCACCTAAGGCTGACAACTTTACTGTCATCTTTGAGCCCATTTCCTAGAAACTGTGTGATCCTCGACGTCTCACAACTCTACAGACCTTCATGGCCTGTTACAGGGATAGCTTTGCTCTTACTTTTTTTAGATACGTACTGTGTGGTACTTATCTGACTTCTGTCTTCATTTGCAGAATTTTGTCTATACGATATGGAAATAAAATTCATTATACAGGCAAAGACAGGAATAATTATAATACATGGTTATGATTGGTAGATTCCAGAGAGTTCTGACTATGGTGTAACACTCTGAATTACTGGTTTTTAGGACTTTGTCAATCAGTTTGTATTCTAAAATCTAGAGAACACCACGTTTTGGAAACTGGATCTGTTTCCGTCCTCAGGAGAGGAAGTTTGAGGCACCTGTTATGTTGGGTCCCTTAGAAAGAGCCAATCTGTTACTGGAGTGACTGAAGTTATCTCTTTCTAAAGGACCCAACGGACGGAAACATTCAGTTTCCGAAACCTTGTTTCCTCTAGATTTAGAACACGGAACGATGCACAAGGTTCCAACACCCAGTAATTCTGAATGGACGTGATTAGTTCATATAGTGTCGGTGATGACAAAGACGTAAATGTGTATCGGTGTGGAGTTTAATTCTTTGTGGTCTAGAAACTTATGTTTTAAATGTATCAGGTTTCTTATCAATTCACACATTTTTTTCCATAAGGGATGTGAAGAAATTTTTATAGCAACTAATCTTATTTTCAAACTGAGAATGTGTCTGAAACTTGCCCAAATATAGAAATTCTAAAAAAAAAAATAGTTTATATCACAAACTAGACCGCATTTTTAAAAACGTGTTTGTTAGAATTTATTGAAGACCAATTTTTTACTTTGCATCAAAATATACAAGCGTTATTATGTAAATATATACCTTGTAGGTAAATATCTTTCCAGCCGGTCACGATAGCCGAGCGGTCTAAGGCATGAACTGTCTTCGCTGGCTCGAACGCTGGGATAGTGGGTTCCAATCCCACACAAGGCATGGATGTTTGGTGTGTGTGTGTGCGTTTATTCTGTGTTTGTGTTGTTCTGTGTTTAGGTAGAGGCCTTGCGACGAGCTGTTCACTTGTCCAAGGAGTCCTACTTTCTATGAAAAATGATTGCGGAACTAAATAAGAGGTCTGGGTCCAGAATGGGCTGAAGGAACCATTGAAAAAATATCTTTCCGGCAAAGAGAACCATGTTAAACATTGTTGCGCTATTACATAAAATATATGTACATTTTATATTAAGATTGCAAAATATGATATTTACATTAAAAAAAGTTATAGCGTTAAATCATTTTGAATTTTAGAAAATAAAGTTCTGTTGAAAAATGCTAAATTCAAGTGGAAAGTATGATGACTAAGATATATTTAATTTGCGGATGCATATATTTGACAAACACATAGTTTCGTGATCTGTAGTTTCGTATTAATTCTGATGTGGGTTTCAGTATTTTATATAAGAGCTTAAGTTTTTCCGTGATTTTTACTGAGACCCTCGAGGCAAATTTCTGGATATCACTTCGATTAGCCACAATCGATTTGTTCCAAATACTATCCAGTTCATCAGTCATCACTCATGTTATTATTTGACCCTTTGTAGCCTAGATATGACAGCGTCTTGAAGTAACCCCACCCCCAGAAGAATTGTATTCCAGCGGTGATAAGAAAAGTAAACGAAGCTTCGAAAGCTTTATATTTTATATTCTGAATATAAGAAATAAATATAAGTTCATTCAGCTCAAATGAGAAATTGTAATGTACAGCTCTGGAAAAAAACGATTTCCATGCATTATTTAATGAGGTTTCAACTGTATTGTATAATAGAGCCTCCCCAAGCGCTGTGGTGAATGTAATGAATTAGAAGATACCACTGACATGTTAATGGAAGAAATAAACGCCATTATTTCTGGTCTAGACTTGTGCTCTTCTTTTGGTGCAAGTAGCCGCTAAAACGCTACGGCAAAATGCATTCATTATATGTGTACCGGGAATGTGAAATCTGCATATGAATAAAACCATAATTGCAATAGCGGCGGCTAAAGGATCTGTTGTTTTCCTTCTGGAACTTTGCAGTGTTTGCTGAGGTTTTTCATTAAGGCACTTGTTTTGCGCTGCAGTCGAGGTAAATCCATTTTCTCGCCATGTAATCAGAAACCCGACCCTAACTAGCGTATGAATATTAATGAAAATTCTACTGCAAGTGGAACCGTATACGCGATATGATTTTATTTATCCCTAGTGAGCACGTACTCCTAGTTTTGGCTGAAAAGACTAAGAAATACTACAAAATACCTGAGTCGTGAGCGAAAGTGTTCAGGCTGAGATTTGAACCGAGCATCTCCCGAAAACAGGTATACAATTTCATTGCTAAAGCACCATACTCGGTAAAATATTCGACCAAGTATGTCTTAAAAGAGAGAAATATACTTGTAGAATAAAGCACAAATTCGAATAACGTATTAGTGTCCATCATTTTCGAAAATTTATGGATCACAACCTAAACATTGTCAGGTTTAGGGGTGACTATAGACGGGATTTTGTATTGGGTGATTGAATTTGTTACACCTTATACATTCACACAACTCGGGACTACAGGCAATACAGCGTTATCGCTATTCTAAACACTTTAGAGTTAACCGTTACGCACACACTAGGGTTCTCAGCCTTCACTAGTCGTAACCTGGCAACGGATTTATCACAGTCTCACTGACATTTCAAACCACTCGTGAAGTCTTCTTGTCACAACATAACTAATGTCCTGTCATTGCTCTGCAACTGCCAATTCGGAAGAGTAGACTCAGCTACTGTTCTACTGTTCTCTACTTGTACTACTTCTTTACTACTAATTCTCAAGAGCCCTTTCTGTCATTTTATAACCCCTCGGTACAGGCACCGCGGAGAACACCTCTGTATTTTTAAGGAGATGTGTTTACTAGTCCATTACCTAGCACTGGATGTCCCATTGTTGCGTATGCGTGTGTTGCGGGAGTGTGTGTATGGAACCATTGCCTAGCAATGGGCATACACGTCACAATATGTAAGATTACTGTTCTTGTATGTTCAGTGTTATGTTACATTATTTTACTTGTTAGTTGTTTTTACTTACAAAAGAACTGCTGAGGCCTGGGACAGAGGCGTCTTTTATCTAATCGACCTCCTGTAGAACAGGTTAGACATTTCGGTAGCTCGGCGGAAGAAGCTCTTATATGCCTGTAGAACTTATGTGCTCTTTTTATTGTAAATATTTTGTGACGTACGTATATGATGCAGCATATTAAAAGACAGTTGCATCTCTGTCTTCTGACGTACAAACGTCGACAGAATGTCTGTATCTCCAGTACGGATATCATCTGATTAACGGTGTTAATGGAAACAATCGTTGTTTATCCAAAAAACTGTAAGAAACTCATAAATATGCTGCATAGGAAAAATTACAATATTTAAAATGTGGTACCTGGAGTTACCATTGTGTTGTAGAAATTTATCAAGCAAATATAGAGATGCTATGGATTATTCGTTTTCGAAAACTTATTCTCTGGACGTGTTAGACTAAGGCTGTGTAATCATTTTTAAGAGATTTTTCTATTGGCAGATTCCACGTGCAGAGATTTTACCAAGTATGTAAAACATACCTATTTCAGAAATATTTCGTACCCCAAATGAGTCCATAATGGATAATATGCAAATTCTGTAGACAGGAAATTTTAGTAAAAATTTGAAATACCACTTCACGTTCAGGGTCCTGGAGCAGAACTCAAACTATGCTTTATAAATTTATTGAAGGACGAAATAATTAATATTTAAATCGTTTCCTCACAATTTCAGTATACATGAGCACACTACATTTAACCAAATCCGATTTTACGCGTATTCGAACCACGGATCGCTAACTGGGTGTGGTTCATACTTCCGAGCGTTATGTAACCTCTAGTTTGTAATGGGTAGAGCTGCCCTGCATACAATTTTCTCTCTACAATAACATGTATTCTGAAAGTTTCAAAAGGCAGCTTTGGGATTTTCTTCTTTTCTCTCCTGCTTAGTCATTACACGTGTCACCCTGAATACTCCAGCACATGAGGGATATTTTAAAGTACGTGTCACTGAATGATATAGAAACTACAGCGCCTTGACTTACTGCACGTCTTTTCTTTTCTAATGGTCGCATTGTAATGTTCATTACATAATGGATAACTAAATATATCGTTTTGTGACAATTGTAGTTATTCCAAAGGATCGACAAAGTAAAAAATTAGGCTGTGTGATTCATTTATAACAAAGAAGACCGATGATTTGAAACAGAACTTCATGGAAAAGGGAGTGTCATGATAAATCCTAGAGCAATACAAACGCTAGGGAAAGGTCATTTTGAAGATTTTGTCTTTGTATTTATCGTACACTGCAGTGAGGGCTAAATGTATACATTTGACATGATATAGGCCTGTTAAGCCGTATGAAAGTTTGATGATGGGGGAACGTTCCTGTTTGTTTTTCACTTAAAGTAGTGCAGAAATATTGTTATAAGTGCTGTAAGTGCATATTCATGAAATATTTGTTTCGAATCAAACATGGGTCTCGGGATATCTTAATATAATTTGGTAGTTTTATTGTTTCTCCATTCGAAATCTGCGTAGTACCTTCAAATAGGCCACGAAAACCC